ACAAAATATAAGGGGTGACCTAGAGAATAGTGACCAATAGGGTTCTTACCTAGGAAATCTAGGTTTTAAAAAGGGTTGGAATAACCATTTAATGGTGCTCTCAAAATATTTAGAAAACCATGGCAAATTCTGCCTAGCCCATTTTACATTTAAAATTGAATATTACCTTTGTATCCCTTTAAATGTAAGTTGTGGTTGTAAGATAAAATAAATAACAATTGTATTATGTAACCAGCATTTGACAATGCAGGAAATCATTGTCATTCTCATTTTCAAGAATCTAGAAAAAGACAAAACAACTGTTACCAATTCTTATAGGGTGAGATAGTTTTCAAATGGATATTTTGGTATGGTTGATCTTTTTAAAGATCTTTTATTTTCCTACATTTATTAACGTTGCCAGGGAGGCACATATACAAACTGTTGTAAATTCCTACACCGTTCACCTGATTTGGATGTAAATACCCTCAAATTAAAGCTGAAAGTCTGCAGTTAAAGCACATCTTGTTCATTTCATTTCTAATCTATTGTGGTCTTGTATAGAGCCAAAAAGATTAGAATTGTGTTGATGTCCCAATATTTATGGACCTGACTGTATATACACACATATATATATATATATATTCATGTGTTAGAAGCAGGAAAAATGGTCAAAAACAGGAAAAAAGTAAAAAAAAATCTGAATGACTTTGACAAGGACCAAATAGTGATAGCTAAAAGACTGGGTCAGAGCATCTTCAAAACAGCAAATCTTGTGGGATGTTCCCAGTATGCAGTGGTTCCTACCTACCAAACTTGGTGCAAAGAGGGGAAACCAGTGAACTGTCATCTGGATCATGGGCACCAAAGACTAATGATGCACAAGGAAACACAGTCCGTCTGGTCTGATCCCACAGAAAAGTTACTGTAGCTCACATTGCTAAAACGTAATGCTGGCCATGATAGAATAGTGTCACAATACACAGTGCATCACAGTTGGCTGTGTATGGGGCTGTGTAGTCACAGACCGATCAGAGTGCCCAAGATGACCCATGTCCATCTCCAAAAGCAACATAAATGGCGAAATAAGCATCACAACTAACTGGACAATTGAAGATGTTTGCCTGACCTGATCAATAACATTTTCTTTTAGATTAGGTGGATGGCTGTGTGTTTGTGTGCGTCATTTACCTAAGGAAGAGAAAAAAAAATGGGTCGACAGATACCGACTTTCAGGAGCAAAGACACTGGAATTTTTTTTTCTTAACTCCTATCCATCATAACATTTTTTTTTTCATACAATTTGTATCTCTTTTTTTCTTTGTTTTATTTTATTTATATACTATTTTATTTTTCATTCTGTTCAAGCATGATTGTTTCACACACATTTTGTTTCAACCATTTTCATTTTTATTACACAGTGTCATTGTGTTTGATTTTGGGAATGTTCTCTTTAAATGTATAATTCATAAAACATTTTCTAAATAACAAATGAAAAAAAAAATAATAATATGAAACATTATGCACTCATTAACATTTATAGTAATCACACATTTAGTGCTTTTTATAAAGTGCAATATATAATCACAATTATTTTATAAATATGCGCCATGATCTTCAATGTCAATTACTTATTTCAAGTAATACACAGTGAAATATCCACAACCTAGAATTCACATTTATGAGAAATGACAATGATTTTCATGATGAGTTCAGTACTTGTATTGTATTGTCAGCATTCCTTGCTCAAGAGAAATTAAATATGTCATGCTTTTAATTCAAGACTTTGCATTACATTATAATATAACACATTCAAAGATTATAACACTATTAAAATGTGTTATCTTTTAACGCACTGTGGAATATGAAAGACATTTAATCTGTATCATATTCAATCTAATAATTTCTGTGAGAATATATCTAACTTTTGCACTGGCTCCTGAAAGTTGATACATTTTTATTAATGTGTTAAATTTTACATATTCACTCAAAGTGTCATATTCAGCAGCGTCAACTCATTTTATGTTAACTACTTATTAGTAGGTGTATGAAATTATAAGTGTTCATTTTCATCTTCTCAGTTAGTTGCTATGAAAATAAATACAAATAATTAAAAATACTCTTTTTTATTTAGAATATATCATTTTAAACCCAGTGAGAATTTTTTTTAATAAAAGTAGGTTTTTTTGTGCTGACGTCAGTCAGTTGGAAATGCATTTTATTGAAGTTAAAAAAATAATACAAGAATTTTTGTTGAAAAAATGTTAAAATAATTACCCATCCATAAAGCATAAACATATAGGACTGGAGTCTTGCAGAGCAAAAATTTTTACTATTTATTTATTTCAATGGATGATTTACTATACAATAGGCGGAGTATACCCTTACACAACCCTTAGAGAACCCAGCCCATAGCTTTGTTCTATGAAGAATTTATAATTTGGCAACTAAAATTGGCATTTGTGAAATGTTTTTACAGTTTGCTATTTACTACCTGGTGCCATTAAGCTGTGATACCAATTTTAAAGCCAAAAAAGCACAACAGAAAATCAAAGAACTTGCAATCCCAGTTCCAGTTTTTTAGTTGGTAAGAAGAAATATACATAAAATACATATATTTTATGACATAAATCCTATAATGTATATGAAAACATGAATGTCCATGCACATGCACTGAAAATAAATGGGTTTCAATAAAAAAACCTCTGTGATGACATGGCCCTGACATCTCTGGCACTAAAGGTGCACCAGTTCAGGTCTGCTATCATCCTTGGGTTTCTTTGTATAACCTTTACTGCTAACTGCTCATCTATACCCCAAGGGTATGTTTGCTTGGTAGCAGATTGGCAATACACTTCAATGGATATAATGTCTTAGACGTGCATAGATCCAATACTTCCAAGAACTCGACAAAGAGACAAGACACACATCTTACTGGCAACTTGTAGAAAACTCTATTTCTAAATCCCACAAATTTCTTAAAAGACCACAGCACACACAGGAAATATATTTACAAATTATTTACACCAAGGAAAATATGAACTTAGATGGGATACCAGAGCTCTGGCTGAGAATGTAAATTAGATTGAGCTAATTATCCCCAAAGGTCCTTTGTTCTTATCCCAGGACACAATAACTTTGGATATGCCAAGAGGAAGGCTACTTCTTCCCATCCCCCTTGTTAATAATCACTTAAAACAAATGTTATGTATACAACACCAGACCTAGTGTCTGTAAACACATGTTGAATTGCCTTAATTCCCTGGATTTCTTCATAGGACATACAATGCACCTGAGACTAGAATTAATAAATATACAAATTATGTCACAATCCCCACCTCCTTTTAGCATAAAAAGATAAAAGAAAGGTTTTTTCTAGCCTTTTCTCTAACACTAAGACTTCCTTGGTGATGCTATCCTTATAGGAAAGTATTGAATTGAATGCTTACCTATGACTGCAAAATCACTTGACTATGTTTTACTCAATCATTGCAGTGAATACACCTATAGTGTATGGTGTGTTTAACCCTACAATGGAAACATTTCAGTTTCTCCAAAAATGAAATGCTTTACATTACAGGGTAAAAAAAAGAGCATGACCACTACACCCAGAACACTTCATTGAGATAAAGTGGCTTGGGAGACTTTAACCCCTTAAGGACACATGACATGTGTGACATGTCATGATTCCCTTTTATTCCGGAGGTTTGGTCCTTAAGGGGTTAATGGTCCTTAGGAGTGGAAGGAGAGTAAAAGAGAGAAATTGGGAGTGGAGAGCTGGTTCACCAAGTAAGACCACTGTGATCCCATTTGCTTAGTAAAGGTATAAGGTTTAACTCCATGTTAAAAATGCAGAAAAATAAAAATAAATGTTAACTAAAAAGAAACATACTTTCAAAATTTTCTTTGTGGGTCCCTTGTCAGAAAGAGACTATTATCCCATAAATCTCTGCCTACGATGCATAGTTTGTGACTCAAATGTTGTGCCTGCAATGTCTACATGGGCAAGTAGACAAAATTGATATAGACAACTTTTAACTTAGCATTCTGGCTACCTGATAGAGCACAATAAGATCTGCAGTTGTTTTAAAATATTGCTGCAGATCTAAGCTACTATCAGAGCTTAAGGCAGTTTGAAGATGTTCTATGTATCAGCACCTTAAGAATTATGCAAAGTTGTGATGGTGCTTATAATATAGTTGCAGTGACAATGTGTAATATTTAGAATATTGTTTTGAATAATACAGGCAATATGAAACAACATTTAATTTTATTGCAGAAAATAAAGTGTAATCCTATGTCATATATTTTTTTTAAATTCTTTATTTTATTTGTGCACAGGTTAAACAAGCAGGTTTGCTTTACCATGACAGCTGGCGCAAATATAGTAGAATACATAGTAAAACATCTTTGTGGTATTGAGAACCCTGCACATGTTTATATAATTAATCAAGCTGAAACAAGATATAGTACATGTGAAAGAAAACATTAGCTGAGTGCGTGAGTAAGTTGTATGTACTAATTTAGCTTGTGAGTAGTAAACATAAAAATGTACAAAATTAACAAAGTGCTAGGCTTGTCAACGAAACAATAGTAACTTGTAGAGGCTTATGCACTGAGACTGAGTTAAAAGAAGTTGAGTAGCTTTAGTAACATGCTGAAATATATGTCACCCGGGGATCCTGCATCAAAGTGAGAGCTATGAAATACACATTTCTTAAGGCGCAGGAGGCTAAAGGGAATGCATAGTTGAGAATTATAAAGTTACACTAAACAAGCTAGCAATGAACATAGAATGTTAATCATAGGTTTGGCAGTGAGTGACAGAGAGTCAGCGTAAGTCAGCCGATGCCCACCAGTGGCTCTGCACAGTCCCACTGCGTTTTTGCTGCCAGTGAATATCACAGCCCCAGCCAAGGCCACAGCAGCATCCAGATGGTGTGAAGGAACTGGCGCACTGGCCTCCCTGGTGATTGCAAGATGTGGGCTCCTAGGTGGGTCATGCAGTGTGGCAGCTGTACTGTGGTGTCTCCGATGCTGCATCCCTATTTGGGCTAGCTACCCGGACCAGCACCGCGTGTTGGAACCCTGCCGGTAGGTCCTGGGATGGGTGGTCAATCCGCTCCCGACTCACAATTAGCAGCATCCGGCATGCAGCATCCAACATTTTATGTAAGGCTTCTCTGCCACTCCAGTTGGTATCAGCAGCTCTGGGTTGTTGGTAGCAGTGGAGACCACCAAGGTGAGGATTACTCCCGCCAGTCCAAAGTGTGGGGGGGGAGTAGACCAGCACCGTGTGGGACCGAGGTTTTGATCTACTGCAATTGGGCAGGATAGCAGGGAGGCGGCCGTTCACCCCACTCACTGTCAGAGTATGCCTCAGCTGCGTGGACCAAGGATCTCCCTCCCGGAAACAGAGAGGCAATTTTCAGGCTCAGCCTCAGAACCAGTACTGCTCTGCAACTTGGACCGCAGTTTCCAGTTGTTACATAGACAAGTTAATCGCTGTGGTAAGTTTAATAATTAAAAGACTGCAGGAGCTGCTTGTTCTTGTATCCTCACAGCATGGTACTCTGACTCCGCCCCGCCCTATGCCATTTTAAAATATTTTTTATCATTCAAACTTTTGTATGAAAGATTAAAGCTACCTATAAATCATTATTTTTATATCATCAAAAGATTACTATTTGTTATTAGGATAAATATTATGTGTTTTGAAGTTCTGCATTATAAACAATAGAACAGATGACACGTAAATTAGCAAAAAGGTAAATATATTTGTATGTTTATTAATGGATACCTTACAGCAAAAATGAAAGCCTTTTAAACTGTCATTGTCTTGACTAGCATTTTGCTTAATCTAATCTAAAGTATCAATCAATACATTTCCCATCACTTGATTGCTAACAAAAAAAAAAAAACACAAACAGCATTTTTGTGCTATTTTTGACTTTTACAAACATGATACATTTTAAAATGTAAAACACAATACAGGAAATGCGTCTAGAGCTTTCTAAATGGAACAGTAGTTTGATATTTGAAAAATCAAAGTAGAATTTTGTAATGAAATCAAACATCAGATATAAAGAGGCTTTTAGATCTATTAGAAAGTTGTGGATGAAATGATGATGTAGAAATTAAAATTCAGCTCCAGCAGAAGGTTGTACTGTTTCAACATACAGCTCAGTGCATCGATCTGTTCCAGCATTTGACTTTCAACCATGACAAAACTGTGGGCAAATTAATTGTTCTCCAGGATATTAGGCATCAGAGTCTATTAATCCTCTCTGGAGCTGAATGCTTCATGAATACTAATCAAAGCAAGAGCTGCAGTCTTGTCTCACTGGCCTGACTCATCGCTGCTGCTGTTTTTCATGGCACATAATCTAAATGCTTGAGAGCTATTTGCTATTGTTTTTTGGCAATAATATAAACTCTACTATTATTACAAAACAAACACAGATGCTGAGATTCATTTTTAATATAATGTGCTAATGTTATGTCATTTTAATTAATGAAACATGCAAATTTATTTTTGTATAAATACAGTAACACAATGCTCAGTGCCTAAGGTACTGTATATACACATACACACACACACACACACACACACACACATACATATGAATGTATGTATTCATATATCCATATATATATATATATATATAAACAGACATACACACATGCTAACATGCTAGACAGGCAGATGAAAACATAGATAGATGTTCATGGCTACAGACAATGAAGCTGCAGTCAGAATATTGGATATTAGCTATCATAGCAGATTAGTTGACTGCTCCAGTAGAGATTGCTTGCAGGCAGGGTTATTCACTAAAGTCAGAATGGCCTTGTACCAAAATGGGGCAAAACCTAATAGCTGCATATGGGGACATTTGGATTGCAAATCTGGATATTTATCATGCTATTTAACCATGTCTGTATTGTGGCCTTGAATTCATTAGAATTTTGGTCTGGTGGTGTTTGGTCTGGTGTTTTATTTTAAATTAACTATTTTCTGCAACAATAGCAGCTAGCAGCAAATAGTTAAAAAATAATATTTTTGGCTGGAAAGGGTTAATTATGTGGTGGCTGGCCAGCACTTGCTAGCCAGCCACCACACCAAAAAAGTAAACAAGCAGCAATAAATAATCCTATAGGGGTCAATAAGGGATCTGCTATGCAGCAATGGACCATATCTGCTAAATGATTACAATTTCAAGCTGGGCAGCAATAGCTAAAAAAGCCCCCCATTCCATAACAGGAGCCCTAATTATAATATTCAAGTGGGGAGGACCAAGCATCTTCCACCCAGCCCATTGGCAGCAGGTGAGTACCCTATTAGTAATATTCAGGGGGAGAACCTAATGTCCTCCTCTAAGCCCCATCCATGACCCATGACCCCACCACCCATGAGCCATGGGTCCTAATTATAATATTCAGGAGGAAGAACCTGGTATTCTCCAACCCACCGCTCCTGGTTGACAGGTGGGGGCTCTAAATAATTAAACAATAGGGGGTTAGATATGGCATTGCCCACCCATCTAATAGTTGGATAACCACAACTTGCCCCCTCTCCCCAGTTGGCTAAGGTTTCCCAATTCTTTAACCAGCCAATTAAACAATATACATATATACTTACCATCCAAAGTCTTTTTTCTAGCTCTTATTTTCTTCAACTATAAAAAAGGACAAATTCAAATCCATGAGAACCGAAATAGCAATGAAAGTAAAAAAAAGCTTGATAAAAAAGCTTGATTTAAAAAAATAAACAAACAATGAAAATTTTTTTAAAAACACGACAATAAAATGAGTCCATGTTTGCCCTATAAGGGCTCATTAAAGATAGAGCTCTCATAGTTGGGACCTTTGTCAGCTATTGAATTGCTTGGGAAAATTCCCAATTCTATTCAATATGTATCACTGTTGGTCCTTCTCACTCAGTAGAGGCATTCAGGCTGTTTGGTATAAACCTGCTTGGAAGTATAGATCATTTCACTACTCCTCCTTTTTCCCCCTCAATTGGTCAGTTGTCACTTGATCTGCGAATACTGGGTATGCCCTAACCATCAATCTTTTTTTTCTTGCTATAATTTGATTGGTCAGGAGATACAGTCTATGTGATTTGACAGACCTCTTGTCTATCATGGGAAACTAAGCTGCTTATTTCCTCCTCCCAAAAAACATGTTTGAGCTTGTATGAGTTGTTTCCCCCAAGATTGTAGCAAGGGACAGCACAGAAATTTGAAGTTGGGCCGATCACCTGATTTGATGAATTGCAGTTCTGACTGAAACATATCTCCAGACTACTTGATAATAAGAAGACAGAGAAGATACTGGCGAACAGCAAGGAAAAGTCAGGAAACAGCAGGGATCTCTTCCTAGCTAGCAGTTTTTCACTTCCTGTAGATCTGGAATCTCCAGTTTATTTTTCAGTTATCAAGATAACGTCAGTAGAATAGCTTATGTTTCACCAAAATATGAGATCACTTTGAGACAAAGTGGACGATGACTGCCCTGCAAAATGAAAATTATGTGATAAGAGAATTAGGTAACAAATTATTATTAGTATTGGGTTATATTACCAATTCTGGGGTGAATCAATACCTTCCCAAAGATCACAACATCACAAGACAGTGGAGATGACACTACAGAGCATAGATGTAAAAGCTTGTAGTGTCTTGAGCACTGTGCCCTCAATAAAGAGCTGAACTGTACTCATCATACATGACTGCAACCTCTATTTTAACAGTAAATGAAGAGGCTTAATTTGCTTCTTGCACTTTGCAGTGACACAAGCAACAAGATGGGTGATTGTGTTCCTTTCTTGCAGTTTTGAAAAGAGACTTGCGTCCATCAAGTTCAGCCTTCCTCACTAGTGATGTCCCGAACGGTTCGCAGAATGGTTCGCCACCGACGGGGAACATATGCGCTGTTCGGTCCACCTCCTATTCGTCTTAATTGAGTAAACTTTGACCCTGTACCTCACAGTCAGCAGACACATTCCAGCCAATCAGCAGCAGACCCTCCCTCCCAGACCCTCCCACCTCCCTCCCAGACCCTCCCACCTCCCTCCCAGCTCACTAAGAATGCAGCTTCACAATGAATGTAAAATGGATGCTGTCCAGGAGGTGGGAGGGTCTGGGAGGGAGGGTCTGCTGCTGATTGGCTGGAATGTGTCTGCTGACTGTGAGGTACAGGTTAAAAGTTTACTCAATGATGACATAGGGGGCGGACCGAACAGCGCATATGTTCGCCATCCGTGGCGAACCGTTCGTGACATCACTATTCCTCATATATGTTTTTGCTGTTAATCCAAAAGAAGGCAAAAAACCCATCCTGAAGCGCTTAGAATTTTGCAACAAACTAGGGAAAAATTCCTTCTTGACCCCAAAATGTCAGTCAAATATCTCCTTGGATAGAGCAGCTATTACCCCATTAATTAGAAATTATATCCCTGTATGTTCTGTTTTTGCAAATATTAATTCAATTTCTGTTTAAACATCTGTATGGACTCTGATAAAAACCACCTCTTCAGACAGAGAATTCCACATCCTTACAGTTCTTACTGTAAAAAAACAACTTTTCTTTGCCATAGACTTTTCTTCCAGCCTAAATGCATGCCCTTGTGTCATATGTATAGCCCTGTTTATGAATAGATTTCCAGATAATGGTTTGTACTGGCCCAGAATATATTTGTATAATGTAATCATATCACCTCTGAGATGCCATTTTACCAAACTAAAGAGAATTACATTTTTTAACCTTTCTTCATAACTAAAATGCTCCATTCCTTTTATAAATTTTGTAGCTCGTCTGTACACGTTTTCTAGTGCCATGATATCCTTCTTTAGAACAGTTGCCCACAATTGCACAGCATATTCAATGTGTGGTCTTACCAGTGATTTATAAAGAGGCAAAATTATATTTTTTTTTTGTGAATTGATGCCCCTATTTATACAGTATCTCACAAAAGTGAGTACACCCCTAAGTGAAAATGTCCAAATTGGGCCCAATTAGCCATTTTTCCTCCATGGTGTCATGTGACTCATTAGTATTACAAGGTCTCAGGCATGAAAGGGGAGCAGGTGTGTTAAATGTGGTGTTATCGTTCTCACACTCTCTTATACTGGTCACTGGAAGTTCAACATGGCACCTCATGGCAAAGAACTTTCTGAGGATCTAAAAAAAAGAATTGTTGCTCTACATAAAGATGGCCTATGCTATTAAAAGATTGCCAAGACCCTGAAACTGAGCTGCAGCACGCAGGGCCAGATAAAGAGCCCAGTGGGCCTGGAGCTGACAATTATGATGGGCCTAATTACAGAATCTTATCGACCAAAAACACTGAAACAACCATACCTCCCAAGCGTCATGTATCTGATGGAGATGGTGTTGGAGGGAAAGGATGCAGCTATACGAAAAACATACTCTATGCTAATCTCTCTCTAATTTATGCTTTCATCTTTCAAGTAAATCCATACCTCCTAACAGCAGTGTCCAGTGAAGCAGGAAGACAATGGGCAGGGTAAAAGGGTGTGCCACTGACGCAAATCACGTGACCAGACCTGCCAAAAGGGACACATGCCCAAAAAGGGGGAATGTTTGTCCAAAGAATTGGAAGGCCAGTCTGGCATGAATGCATGTCAGGCGGCCTGTCAATAATGCAGGCTGTCCAACTAAGGGCATAGTATGCAGGCAGCACCCTGAACTTGACATAAATGCATCAAATTATGCTCCTACCCCACGCTTTCTAAGGACTGTCCCCTAGCACTCACATGTCCACTTGTCTCCTTATCGTGTTACTAGCAGGCAGAGGTTCCTGGAATCTAGTCTGGGATAGAGTAAAGGTGTATGCAGTGAGTGTAGTGTATGTAGTGAGTGTAGAAGAAAGGGGACATGCCACAGTGTTAGAGAAACCAAAGTCTGCATTGCCTAAAATAATTCGTTTGTCAGCCAGTCCATACAAGGTTTGTTGCCATACATCCCTCTTAAGCTTCCAAACTTAAAGGAACACTATAGTCCCCAGAACAACTACAGCTTATTGCATTTATTCTGGTAAGTAGAATCATTCCCTTCAGGCTTTTTGCAGTAAACACTGTCTTTTCAGAGAAAATAACTCAACTGGCCACTCCTTAGATGGCTGCTAGAGGTGCTTTCTGGGGCAGTACTGCCTAGTGTGCAGCACTGCCATTCAGTGTCTCCACCCTCTGCATGCAGACACTGAACTTTCCTCATAGAGATGCATTGATTCAATTTATCTTTATGAGGAGTGGCTGATTGGCCAGGGCTATGTTTGACTTGTGCTGGCTCTGCCCCTGATCTTCCTAGTTTACAGTCTCAGCCAATCCTATGGGGAAGCATTGTAATTTGCTCAGACGGCCACTTCTGATTATGTCAGCAGACAGAGTCAGTTCAGAGGCAGAGCCAGTAGCTGCAGACTTGAATACAAGTAAGATTTTACTATATTTAGGGAGGCAAAAGAGTGCCAGGGGGGCTAGAAGGTGGTTTTTACATAATAGGGTCAGAAATACATGATTGTATTCCTGACCGTATAGTGTTCCTTTAAGCAAGAGTATGTGAAGAGTAGTTAGGGTTGCCAACTTTCTTGGAAACAAATACCAGCCTTTGTATAATTAGTTATGAGTGACATCACATGATGTAAATCACAAGGAGTGACATAAGAGAAAATTCTGTAAAATCATCAACAAACTACTTACAGTTTGAGTCTGCTGTATAGATGAATTGCTCCCAGTGTCTCCCTGTCTCCCAGTGTCTCAGTCTCGCAAGTCTCCCCATTTCTCAGTGTGTCCCCATGTATCACAGTGTCAGTGTCCCCATGTTGCCCACACCCTAGTCTCCCAGTGTCCCCATTTCTCCCAGTGTCCTTATGTCTCAGTGTGTCCCCATGTCACTAGGATACTAGGGGACACAGTGGGACATGGGGAAACAGAGACCTGGGAACACTGGGAGACACGGGGGCACTGAGAAACCTGGGGACACTGGGAGACATGGGGGCACTTGTGAATACAGACATGGGGACACTGGGAGACATGAGGACACTGGGAGAAATGGGGACACTGAGAAACTAGGGTCACAGAGACATGGGGACAAAGACACCTGGGAGACATGGGGACACTGAAACATTTGGGGACACTAAGACACTAGGGACACTAAAAGACATGGGAACACAAACACTGGAAGACTAGGGGACACTGGGAGACTAGGGGACACTGGGAGACATGGGGACACTTAGACACTAGGGACACTGGCTGGAAGACAGTCACTTGGGGAGACATGGGGACAATGAGAAACTAGGGACACAGAGACATGGGGACACAGACACCTGGGAGACATGGGGACACTGAAACATTTGGGGACACTAAGACCTAGGGACACTAAAAGACATGGGAACACAAATACTGGAAGGCTAGGGGACACTGGGAGACATGGGGACACTTGGACACTAGGGACACTGGCTGGAAGGCAGTCACTTGGGGACACTGGGAGACATGGGGACACTTGTGGACATAGACATGGGGACACTGTGAGACATGGGCACTCTGAATCACTAGGGACACAGACACTGGGAGACTAGGGGAAACTGGGAGCTGTGTGGACACTGAGCCACTAGGGACACTGGCTGGGGGACATGGGGACACTAGGTGACATGGGACAGGAGACATGGGACAGTGTCCCAGGTCACCCAGTGTCCCCTAATGTCTGTGTCCCCTAGTGTCTCAGTGTCCCCATGTCTCCCTGCTGCCTTTCCCCCCATCCCTCACTTACCTGAGCTGTAGAGCTGCTGTCTGGACTCTCTGTGCTGTGTAGCTGCTCCCCCATGGATCAGTGAGTAGTAGAGAGAGGCAGGGATATGCTGTAACCTATCCCTGCCTCTCTCCACACACAGTGACCCCTACTGGCCGGTGCTGGTATTGCAGAGTAATCTCCGTTTATACTGAGAAAAATACCTGCATTTGTATTGCCGGTATTACTGCGATACCAGCACGGCCAGGCAGCCTCAAATACTGGCTGTGCCAGTAAAATACCAGTCAGGTGGCAAACCTAAGAGTAGTGTGTAAAAAAAAAAAAAAAGTTCAAAAAAAAATATAATTTATTTTTTTATGGGCCTATTCCATGGGCCTGGGCCTGGGCCTGGGCCTGGGCCTGGAGCTGCAGCTCCATCATCCCCTATGTTAATCCGGCCCTGGAAGCACGGTGGGCAAGACCATACAGTGGTTTCACATGACAGGTTCCGCTCAGAACAAGCCTTGCCATGGTTGACCAAAGAATTTGAGTGCATGTGCTCAGCGTCATATCCAGAGATTGTCTTTTTGAAATAGAGTATGAGTGCTGCCAGCATTCCTGCAGAGGTTTTAGGGGTGGGAGTCAGCCTGTTAGTGCTCAGACCATATGCCGTACACTGCATCAAATTGGTCTGCAAGGCTGTCATCCAAGAAGTAAGCCTCTTCTAAGGATGATGCACAAAAAAGCCCGCAAACAGTTTGCTAAAGACAAGCAGACTAAGGACATGGATTACTGAAACCATGCCCTGTGGTCCGATGAGACTAAGATAAACGTATCTAGTTCAGATGGTGTCAAGTAGGGATGTGCATGGGAAAAATATTTGCTTTGGCTCGGCATTCAGAAATTCGGGACTTAAGCACTTCGGAACTTCAGAACTTTGGCACTTCGGCACTCCAGTTCGGCACTTCGGAACTTCGGCACTTTGGAACTTCGGGACTTCGGGGCCTTGGAACTTCAGGACTTCAGGACGTCAGGTAAGTGTAGGGTTAGGGTAGGGTAAGGTTAGGGGTAGGGTTAGGGTAGAGCTAGGTTAGGGGTAGGATTAGAGTAGGGTTAGGGTAGGGTTAAGGGTAGAGGTAGGTTTAGGAGTAGGGTTAGGGGTAGGTTTAGGGGTAGGGTTAGGGTAGGTTTAGGGTTAAGGGTAGAGTAAGGTTAGGTGTAGGGTTAGGGTAGGGTTAGGTGTAGGGTTAGGAATAGGGTTAGTGTTACCCTACCACTACCCTAACCCTACCCCTAACCATACTCCAACCCCTAACCCTACCCCTACCCCAACCACTAACCCTACCCCAACCCTTAACCCTACCCCTAACCTTACCCCTAAACCTAACCCTACCCCTAACCCTACCTCTACCATAACCACTAACCCTACCTCAACC